GAAGGCTGAAAATATACATTGGACATAAATGACTTATTACATACATTGGTGGTTTAACAAAAGCCTTCATCAGAGAAAGGTGAAGGAACATACATTGAACATACAGATTAATGTAGGTGTTGAACAGCAAACACGTAGAGTAGTAATTCCCTCCCAGATGGTGTTAGGAGGGACCTCACGTGGTGTAGTAGTTCCCTCACAGATGGTGTTGTGAGGGGCCTCACGTGGTGTAGTAATCCCCTCACAGATGGTGTTATGAGGGGCCTCACGTGGTGTAGTAATTCCCTCACAGATGGTGTTATGTGGGGCCTCACGTGGTGTAGTAATTCCCTCACAGATGGTGTTATGAGGGGCCTCACGTGGTGTAGTGCACCTCACAGATGGTGTTATGAGGGGCCCCACGTGGTGTAGCAATTCCCTCACAGATGGTGTTATGAGGGGCCCCACGTGGTGTAGCAATTCCCTCACAGATGGTGTTATGAGGGGCCTCACGTGGTGCAGTAATTCCCTCACAGATGGTGTTATGAGGGGCCTCACGTGGTGTAGTAATTCCCTCACAGATGGTGTTAAGAGGGGCCCCACGTGGTGTAGTAATTCCCTCACAGATGGTGTTATGAGGGGCCTCACGTGGTGTAGTAATTCCCTCACAGACAGGTGTTATGAGGGCCTCACGTGGTGCAGTAATTCCCTCACAGATGGTGTTATGAGGTGCCTCACGTGGTAGCACCTCTCCCCACAGATGGTAGTTATGAGGGCCTCATGTGGTGTAGTGTGTGTGTGTGTGTGTGTGTGTGTGTGTGTGTGTTTGTTTGTGTTGTGTGTGTGTGTGTTTGTTTGTTTGTTTGTTTGTGTGTGTGTCCATAATACGTAGAAAGTCAGGCAGAAAGATAGTTACATACAAGCGGATCACATGAAGATTAAGCACTCCAACTTATTTCATGACTAACCTAACCTAACCTAACCTAACCTAATCCTTCCCCCAGGTGGCGTTCAGGTGCTTAATTAATCATAAGCTGAAATAAATTGTGGTGACTAATCTCCACCTAATCCGTATAATCTATAAACAAACAAACTCAAATTATCTCTCTATAATAAGTAAATGTTTAGGTTGGAACTGAGTCACTGAGGTACAGATTGTGATCAGGCAGTGTAGTTTACTTAGAAGGTAAACAGTAAGTGTGGCTGTGATGTTTGTCGAGTACTATCACGAGAGATGGTCAGCCGAGGAACACCACCAAGGCTTACAGACATTGATTTGCCTTTATTATACGATTAATCTGTGTATATATGATCAGGTTTACTAGATCTAAGAAGCGTGTCTGTTTATAGTAAGGCTGATACGTCACCACCTAAGAATTAACTATACCTGTTCTTTATTATTACATCTGTACTTATGAATAAACTACTATTATGTTTTCTGTGGTGTTGTTGAGGGTTCACGAAGGCCCCCCTCTGAGGCGCCCTTAGACTTGAGTCATCTTGAACCGTCATAAAAAAGAGGGAGAGACGTAACTATTTTGGGAGGTTATGAGACTTGTGCTTGGGTAGTGGAGGTTAGCTGGTGTGTGTGTGTGTGTGTGTGTGTGTGTGTGTGTGTGTGTCCTTCACCCGGGCCCTTCGTCTGCCATAACAAGATTCCTCACCACTTAAGATTCTTGTTCACCTGTTCCCTTCTTTATTTCTACTTGTCATTTTATCAGTTATTTTTTTCTTAGTTAATCTTTCTGTTTGTGTTGTCAGCTATTATCTTCTCCGGTTAATTTTTCTGTCCAGTATTATCATCTATTTATTTTTCCTCTCAGGTTTCCTCCCCCCTCCCCCCCTCCCCCCCTCCCCCCCTCCTCCCCTCCCCAAAGAAGAAAGTATCACGGGAGTATCAAAACAGCTGGAGGAAATATGCGGTATAATATTGCCTCGTAAGCAATGATTGACTGGAAAGAAGATTACGCTGTAAGCGTCATTTACCCAAGCTGCATATTCATCACGGTCCAGTAACCCAATGCCCCCCCCCATCTCTGTATATTGGTCTATGTGTCTTGTAGTAGTTTTACACACACACACACACACACACACACACACACACACACACACACTATCCGTACAATCCCAGGACACGTCGTGGATAGTAATAGGTGCTAGTCAATCCCAGGGTTCATAGGCACAAAATTTGGTATGACTCTCTCTCTCTCTCTCTCTCTCTCTCTCTCTCTCTCTCTCTCTCTCTCTCTCTCTCTCTCTCTCAATAAGTAGTGTACTGGGGAGATTGGCTGACCATCTGTAATACCCCAAGTCATCTTGTAGTTTTATGAAGAATGGACGAGTTGACGGTCGTAATTTTTTCGTATCAATGGGTAAAGAAAACGCTTAAATTCATTATGGTAATGATATTTTTCAATAAATTGATCCAAAAAGTGTCAAAAATAAGGGTTAAAGTTGCTAAAAGTCACGTGACTGCGAAAAGCTCTGTGATTGGTTGTGACGTCACTGGTTGGGGAGAGCCAAGGCGAGCTTCCCAGCGGGAGGCAGCCAGCTGTAGTTGTTCGTTCAACTTTCTCGGCTGGTCGGCTCTGTAAATAAATATTATTAGATAATTAATTGTGCTTTACTGTGCAACACAGTAATACTATTTTGAATATATAAATATTACTAAGCATATTAACTAATTCAATGGATCTTAGCTGCCCATACAACAAATTTCATGTTTCAACATTCCAAACAATATTGGTATTATTATTTTGGTTTTGGTCATCTGGGGAACCTTAAGATTCTAACTATAGGCTAAAGTACTGTAAACAATAAGACACATTATCTGTATAGGATTTCTGTCGCAAAACATTTTTCGATCGCGTAAGACAATACAGGTCATAGGTTAGGTTAGGTTAGGTTTGGTTATGATGAGTTATAAGGTTAGCTTAACATACACCGGTAAGAGAGGTAGTAACTCAAAACTAGTGATTTCCGATAGAAGGTCTAAATCGACCATAACACATCGCAAACCATCAGAAAACAACAACAATATAGTCTGCATGTCTTAAGCACAGGGATGACCAAAACTTAAAATTCACCCACTGTAGCCTATCTCGCATCTAACCATCCAAATACTTATGGTAGTTAAAGTAAAACTTTACCCATTAATTAATATAAATTATGATATATCCCAGTTGTTCATTAGTGAATCATCAAAACAATAACAGCACGATGTTGTGCTTACCTAGCATCAGTCATTATCAAAACAAAGTCCAGACAATGTCATTACTTCTAAATTAACTCGTATCTCCATCTAGTACTGATGTACTCTGTAAATGCACTGAAAAAAAGAGATTCTAACAGGTAAGAGTACATGACAGCTGAGCTGGTGTGAACATGGGAGTTTTTTATGTCCATAAGAACATAAGAATGGAGGAAACTGCAGCGGGCCTGTTGGCCCATCCTGGGCAGTCCCATCCTGGGCAGTCCCATTTACACCCAACCCCTATCGTTCATATATCCATCCAACCTATGTTTGAAGCAGCTCTTCACGGCACTTTTCTTCACTTACGCAATATCCATGACTTAGATCATAAAAAACCACCCTTAAAACTAACCTGAACGTGGCATTTGGGGTCAGAAGAGGCCATCCTTTCTACTAACTCTGACTGCAGCGATGAGTTTGAAGGTAATGACGTCATTGCAAATGGCGGCCCTGTTTCTAGAGAAATAAACTTATCTCGACTATTGTAGCAGGACTCTAAACTTTTATTACACATTATATATATCGTATCACTCTACTAACGTGGCAGAGTGTATTTCTTGTGTTTACCCAGAACCGTCAATTCGTCCATTGAGACAACTAAGCATGGTATTTCTGGGTGTCCTCGTGTGTATGTACAGTATATCTCAGAGACGTCCACGGCCTTGTTGAGGAATGAGGTAAGTAGTTGGTCGCTCGTAAAGGTTCAAAATAGGCCCTGATGTTGTTTGTGTTGTGTTGTTGCAGGCAGCCGACGCAGCTGAGCGTGGTGTGGCTGCGACGGACGCGGCGGGTGGTGCAGGACGCCCCCGCCTGGGAACCCTCCATGAGGAACCCGCTGGAGGGCCTCTGCGTGTGGGCCGTCCCCGCCAACATCAACATCACCGTCACGCTCTTCAGGGACAACCGCACCAACGACTTCGAGGACAAGGAGTGGACCTTTGTCGTCGAGGATGTGAGTAGGATGTGTGTCTGGTGGCTAACGTCCTGATTTACGTTCCTGTAGTTATTCCGAATAGCAATGTCTGTGTAATGTCATAATTGGTTTTATTATTTAAGGTATTACTTTTTCCTTTAACACACACACACACACACACACACACACACACACACACACACACACACACCTGCTTACGAGAATATGACAGTATTTGGACCTTTGTATGTACCTGATTTAGTTTGTATGTCAGTGTGTCTAAAAGTTCGGTGTGCAGACATGTATATAATATACCTTTAAGGCTGACTGTAGAGAACATATTTAGTGTTTATCTGTATTCAAGGTGTCAAGGTACTTTTTTCATCGTGTTAAAAAATGCGTGAGAGATATCGCTACTGGAATGACTTGATGTAACTTCATACTAGGATCCACGCATAAATAAATGTTTCAAATGGGTGATGTGTGTTATAAACCATCGAATTCCCCCTTTATTTATTTAGCAATGAGATCTTGTGTATCGAATATTTATGGAAATGTAAACCAGAAATTAGTCTGGGAGGTAAACAGTGTAGTAGAAAACGGACACTTTTTGTCGTCATAGAGAACGAGTCTTTGCCCGCTTTTTTAGAGGGATAACTTGTGCAATATTTCATCGCCGATTTATTTATTTTTTTTGTCGAAAATGTTTACGTTGATTGTTTCTGTCCGAGTAAGGTGAATTAGGTGATAGTTTAGTTTCCTTTCGCACTTTATTTAGTTGTGTGTGTGAGAGCGTGAACGGATGGATACCTGAAATAACACGTATTTTCCATTATTTATTTATTTCCATTCATTACTTTCCCTACCCATCACAGGTGTCGTCGACGGGTAAGAGACGACAGGTAGCGACGGCACAGATCAACATGAAGCAGTACGCGGGGTTCAGTACACAGCACGACGTCAAGGTGAAGCTGCGGCCGCTGAGCAAGAAGGTGGTGTGTGCCTCCTTGGACCTGACGCTCTCCTGTCTCTTCCTGCGCGAGGGCAAGGCCACGTGAGTATTGTACCTAACCTACCTCTCTCTCTCTCTCTCTCTGTCCGTTCGTTAGTGTAGCTGTTACCTCTTTTTCTTCTTCCTTCCCTTCTGTCAGCCACGGTAGGACAAAAGTATTACTTCTTCTTCTTCTTCTTCTTCTGCTGTCAGTTAAGATGGTATACTACGAGTAATTATTCTTCTCTTTCTTTCTTTCTTTCTTTTAGCATGGGATAAAAAATAGGAATACTTCTCCTCCTCCTCCTCCTCCTCTCCTCCTCCTCTTCTTCCACCATCTCCTCCTCCTCCTCTCTCTGTCAGTCAGGATGAGATACAAGTAGGAATTCTTCTTCTTCATCTTCATCTCCTGTCCACTCTGCCTTCCTCAGCCTCCCACCTGGTCGTATGTATGCAAGGCCTGGGGTCCATATTTCAGAGTAAGAGCCTAATTCAAACTTTTTTTCCTCCTGGGTGGCTTTATGTGTTGGCATTTTGACGAGAGGACAGATTGCTACTCGTCTCTCTCTCTCTCTCTCTCTCTCTCTCTCTCTCTCTCTCTAGTTGAATTGAGAGGTGGCGGGGAGGGTTGGGTGTGAGGGGAAGAGGCAGCCGGATGATGGAAGTTGGTCCCCTGGGTAACTTATGAGTCGCCACCACTACTAGCAGTCTCTTCCTCCTCCATCCTCCTCTTCCTCCAACTCCTCCTTCTCCTCCACTTCCTCCTCGTCTTTACTCCCCAATCATTAACCAACACTTCCTCCTCTTCCTATTCCTTCTCCTCCCCAATTATCACTGCCCTTCGCCTCCGAAGAAAAAGAAGAAGAAAAATAGTTGGCGTATGCTCTGTTGCAACAATATATTAATCTTCTCACTGCCCTGCTTCCCCTCCCTCCTCTTCCCCTCCCTCCCTCATTTCCCCTCCCATCACCCTTCCCCCTCCATCCACCCCTTCCCCTCCATCCACCCTTCCCCTCCCCTCCACTCTTCCCCCCTCCCTCCACTCTTCCCCTCCCCTCCACCCCCCCCTCCCTCCTCTTTCCCCTCCCATCCACCCTTCCCCCTCCCCTCCACTCTTCCCCCCTCCCCTCCACTCTTCCCCTCCCTCCCTCTTCCCCTCCCCTCCACCCTTCCCCTCCCCTCCCACTCTTTCCCCTCATCCACCCCTTCTTCCCCATCACCTTCCCCTCCCCTCCCTTCCCCTCCCTCCACTTTTCCCCCTCCCTCCACTTTTCCCTCCCTCCACTTTTCCCTCCCCTCCACTTTTTCCCCTCCCTCCACCCTTCCCCTCCCCTCTTCCTTCCCCCTCCCTCCACCCTTCCCCCTCCCCTCCCCTCTCCCCTCCCATCCACCCTTCCCCTCCTCCTCTCTTCCCCTCCCCTCCTCTCTTCGCCCCCTCCCCCAATTTTGGCCGTATAATAGTCTTATCTCGGAGAGGTCAATCACCACACATCCTCGCCTGCAGTGACCTAGCATGACCTCCCCTCCTCTCCTTCCACCCCTCTCACCCCTCCTCCTCTCACCCCCTTCACACTCCCACACCTTCTGCTCCCCAACACCACCTTACCCCCTCTCCCCTCTGCTGATCCGTTCTCCTTGCAAAATCCTCCCCTCCTCCCCCCCTCCCTGCATCAGTTATCGCGCCAGGCTCCCTCCTCCCCTCCTCCTCCTCCACTCACCCTCTATACACTGCCGTAGGATTATAGGAGACTTTCGTGGATTTCTGTCAGTTCTGCCTCTCTCCCCTCCCTACCCCCCATGTTAACTCTCTCTGTCTCTCCCCATGTTAACTCTCCTGACTCTCTTTTCCTTCTTGCTGACTTTCTTCCCAGCTGACGTTCTCTCTCTCTTCCCGGCTGATGTTCTCTCTCTTCCCGGCTGATGTT